GCGGCGCGCGGCCGCCGCCGCCGCCGCCGCGGCAGGCAGCCCGGCGTCGCCGCCGTCGGAGATAAACGCCGCCAGCCGCAGCCTCCAGGGGTCGTCCCAGGGCAGTTCCGAATAATCACCCCCAACCGCCGCAAACGCCGCCTCCACCTCGCCCCTCCGCGCGCCCCTGCGGTCCTCGCGCGCCCTGATCACTGCGGCCGCCTTTGCCAGCCCCCCAGTGTCCACGCCGCCGCCGCCAGCCGGCGCCCCCTTGCTCTTGCCACCACCAGCGGTGGCAGCGGCTGCGCCCGCGGCGGCCACGATCAAGGGGTCCCGCGCAAACGAAGGCGGCAGCCCCTCGGCCGCGAGCGCCGACGCCACCGCCTGGTCCCGCAGCTCCTCGGACATGGCATACGCGATCTCCGAGGTTGCGAGGCGCCTCAGCTCACTCGACGCGCGCGTGACGAGGGACGCGAACCGCCCCTGCGCCTGGCGGGCGAGCGCCGCATCCAGGCCGGCCGCCTCTAGCGCCGCCGCGACGTCCTCCGCCGCGCGGCGCCGCGCGGCGGCCCTTGCCGCGCTGTCCGCCGCCCACGCCGCGTTGGTGGCGTGCTGGCGGGCGAGGCCGCTGCACTTGCCGGTCGCCAGGAAGGCCGCGACCTCGGGGCACGCGAGGTGGTCCGAGGTTGTCGTCGTGACCCCGAAATCGCGCAGCGCCCTGTCCAGCTGTGCGCGCCTGAAGTCCCGCATGTCACTCTTCTTGGCCTGCGGGGCGTTCCTGGGGGTCCATCATTGTGGGGCGGCGTGGACGAGCGCACGTGTGAGTGTGTGTGTGTTTTGAGGTTAACGGTGAAGGTGGGGGCGGGGGGGTCTTGGAGGGGTTGGTGGGGCAAACATGCCCGGGGTGTTGGGGCGCGGCACGCGAGCGAGCCTGACCGATTCGGCACAGCATTGGTTGGGAAACCTCAAGCTGAAGAAAGGACACATGCAGTGGGAATGCTGACTGCTGTGAGCGGCGGCGGGGTCCCCGACGGCTGCCGCTGACTCCACGGGATGTAAGTTGGTGCTTTCGCCCTGATGCACCCACCCACCTTCGTCGGTCAAGGAACCACTCGGTGTCGCCGTGGAAGCGCTTGCGTGCCGCCCGCATAACCTGAGGGCGCGTGGGGCAGCGGCGCACCGCATGTGAGATGACATGCAGCAACGCTCTGGCTGGATGCTGGTGAGTGGCAAAGTCTATGACCCGGAGCAGTAAGTGCGCTGGCATGCACGCACGCCAACACTGGGGGTTTATATGCAGTGAGCAGAGACAAGCATGCCTGCAGAAACACACACATGTACAATTGCAGGCTTGGGCACACACACACACACACACACACACACACACACACACACACACACACACACACACACGCGCGCACACACACACTCCCTGCCTTTTGCTCACACGCACACAAAGCACACTTGTACAACAACACATACACTCACGCACGGAGGCACACACCGGCATACACACAAACACACACCCACACCCCACACCCCTACCCGACCACACAATCGCGCGCCCCCCCTCAGCCCCCCCCCCACCTGCCAGACCAGGTACAGCTTCATTGGGGCCGCAAAGGGGTGGTGGGGGTTCTCCCGCTCCTCATGGGGCAGCAGCGCCAGCTCGCGGTCGCTCAGCCGCCACTCCGTCTTGGCCAGAGTGTAGGTCACCTTGCGGCCGCGCCCGCCGCGTTCTGCGGAGCCAGGAGCCGTGCGGGCGCGTGAGAGGCAGGCAGCTTAGCTGGGCTGGCGTCGCGCGCGCGGCTCACTTCGCGGTCGCAGCTGAGGGCAGAGCCAGGCGGGGGAGAGCAAGCAACTGCGGACACTACGGACTAAGCCGGCTCGCGTTGCGCCGACCACTGGGGCGCCCACCTTTCCGGAGGCGCTTGGCGATCTGGGCGACAGCCTTTTGATCGAACCGCGTCCACGGCCGCGGCGCCGCCACCACGCTTCCCTGCATGGCGCCCGCGCCCGCCGGCCTGGGCTGTCTCACTGCCTGCCGCGTGCCAGCGGCGTCCCCCTCCTCCTCCTCGTCCTCCTCTTCCCCATCCTGCTCCTCCTCCCCGCCGGCGCTGCTTTCCCCACCAAACAGCTCTTCAATGATCCGCTCCCGCAGCTCCCCAACCCGCCCCGACGCGGCGAAACCTAGCTCCCTGCACCACGCGCGCAGGCGGTCGCCCTTTGCGCCCTCCACGTCGCCGCGCCCCACGCCGGGCAGCTTGGCGCCGTTGGCTGCGCAGCGCGCCGCGGCCCCCTCCTCGTCCTCCTCGTCGTCCCCCTCTTCATCCCCGCTGCCGGCGCCGGCGCGGGCGCCGGCGCTGGCGCCGGCGACGCTGGAGACCCGCTTGAGGTATGGCAGGATGGACCTCTGGCCCCTCTTGCGATTGGCCTGTGCGAGCGCTGCCCCTGGCTCCACCGACGTCTCGGCCAACCCCGCGCGCTGCCAGGCGCGGCTGACCAGGAGGAGACCTGGACACGCACGCGCACACGGGCACGTGGCGTCGAGGCGGGCAAGGGTGAGGGCGAGTTCGTGTGTGAGGGTCAGGGTGAGGGTAAAGGTGTGAGGGTGAGGGTGATGGCGAGTGTGCTGTGCAGCTATACAGGCGGCAGACGAGCGGGTTTCTGGATAAGCCGTCAGGATCTGTCGAGCCGTTGTGCATGGCCGCGCGCCCAGCAGCCCAGCGCCCGCCGCCGCGGGCTGCGCGATGCTGTCTGCACGGCGGCAGGCGCCGCCGCGCGCAACTCGGACGCACGACAGCGCCAGCCCGATCGACTCCTCGTACAGGTCGCTGTCCAAGGCGTGCAGCGCGTCGTGCTTCCCGATGACCTGGTCGCAGATCAGCTGCAGGGGACCCTCGGGCAGGTCGAACAGCGGCGGCGCCGCGGCCGCCGCCGCGCCCGCGGCCGCGCGGCCGCGGGGCGCCTTGCGGCCCCTCCCGGCGTTTGCGGCGGCGGGGGCGGCGGCACGGGCGCGGCGCGGCGCTTTCGCGGGGGGCGCCGCGTCCTCGTCAGCGTCGCTGTCGGACGCAGGGGGGTCAAAGTCGATGGCGCTGCCGTTGGCGCCGCTTAGGGCCTTGCGGGCCCCGGCGGCGGCGGCGGCGGCGGCCCGGCGTGGCGCCTTCACGGCGGGCGCGGCGTCCTCGTCAGCATCGCTGCTGGCCGCTGAGGGGTCAAAGTCACTGTCGCTGCCCCTGGCGCCTTTTGGGGCCTTGCGGGCCCTGGCAGCGGCGGCGCGGGGTGCGGCCGCACGGCGTGGGGCCTTGGCAGGGGGCGCGGCTTCCTTGTCATCCCGGCTGTCGGGCGATGCTGGGTCATTGTCCGTGTTGCTGCCGTCGCCGCGTGAGGGCTTGCCACGCTTGGCCCTGGTACCGGCTAGGACGCCTGCACTGGATCGCACGGCAGGGCACCCGTCGGCGAGCCCGTCAACGCTAGCGGCTATGGCGGCGCTCGCGGCTGCAGCCCTCCGAGTGCGAGGAGGCATCTTATCAACTTTTTTGTAAGAACACCTTTGATGGGCAAAGAGCCTGTTAGCACTGCGCACAAATGCTGCGATTCATGCTCTGAAATGAGGCATCAATGATCACATCAGCACAGGTAGGAAAACTCCTGTGATTTCATACGCATTGAGTGATGCAGCCGGCAAATGACAAAGAGCTTAGTACCAAGATCTGATGACACACCACCACTGCCCTCACGTTTGAATTTGCGTTCAAATGCGCAACCACTCCGTGCACCTTGACGCTGTAAGGAGTACATTTAGACTCAAATCGCTATCAGTTTAATACGACCGCACTCCCCGCTGCTGAGTGCTGACAGCCCATGTGCAGAACACTGTCACAGTTGACCGCACCTGTCAACTGAACGTCCCTTGGCCAGTGCACGGGTGAGCAGAGACCATTCCAGTACGGCAGCGGTGATCGGGCAAACATGATGATTTGAAGGCGTCCGTTGTGCAGGCTCGTCATCCCCTGGAGTGACTCCCCATACCTGCCAGGGCCTTCACTCGCCCTTGCCATGAGAGCACCCGCGGCCAGCCGTTCTGCAGTCGCAGGCTGACTGCTCACCCTTTCCTTGCACCCACATGCAGACTGTGGCGGTCACACCGATTTCACTCTAGCATGCTTATTGTCGCTTGATGGCGTTTGCGGGGAGGCGGCGAGCGTTTTGGCGCTTGACGTTCGTGAGCAACTCAGTCAGCGGTAGCAACAGCCCTCCGCAAGGGTGTGCATTGTGAAGCATCATGCACATCGCCATGGCAGGGGTCCGAATTGGACCGATCATCAGGCCAATGGTCTCAAAGGTCTCCCTGAAACCAAAGGTAAAGCGCGGTGGCATCTGGGGTTGCTGCCTGGTGAACCTCATGTTTGGTGAGTGCACTGAGTGCGGGACGCCGAGCTGCCAATGCACAAGACCATTCCAGGATGAGGATGATGCAGCTTGAACATTCTTCACCCACAGGATGTGCCCTGTGCCTTTCCCCGCAGCAGGGCTGCACCCACCAGATGTTGTGCCCGCCCCGGTACGGATGGCCTCTGCAGGCAACCAAAATCAAGGGCTGTGGTGAGTGTACGTGCTAACTTTCAGGCGCCAAAGTGCACTAGAGCGTGGCTGGGCGCTAACTTGCACTATCGCATCAGCACAACGAGTGTCAGGCCAATGCCACTTAGCGCTGGGCTAGAGTGAGCCGTCGTCGTCTTGGTGCCTCGCAGTTGACTTGGTCTGCAGCAGAAGTTACTCGCACGAGTCAAATCTACCGGCATGCACCAGGGTAATCCGTAACGTTGACGTTATCTCTTCACAAAAGTTGCTCATGCTTCCCCCCTGTCATCCGGTTCTACCAGATCACGTACCCACACGTTCGTCCGGACACTGCAGCGCCATGCTGCATCCAGCTAAGCCATGTCATCGGCCCCAATATGGTAATCCAGCCACCGCGGTCAGCTGCACCCTGAAGGCCGTCGACAGCGTGCGGTGCAGCGGCTCCGCAGTATCAGTCTGCAGCAACAGTCGGCGCTTGCGCGCAAATCCTAAGCAACGTCTGCGGAGCAGATGCACACTGGGTGCCTCAAGCCTTGAACGCGATGTTGACACATCGTCAGAGCATGACGGCAGGCCGTGGCGCATCCGCGCCGCGACCGAGGCAGATGCTGATGAAGTGGGCCGTGTGTGCGGCGAGGCGAGCGGGTTGCTGGGTGGGGGGGGAGGGCTGGGCACCGGTGACGCAGAGCGGCGCTTGGTCCGTAGACTCCATTTGTGAGCTGGGATGCAAGTAGCGGCCATTAAGAGGAGGATGAGGCTGTCCAGAAACGCAAGTTGCTGCTTTATCACCTCTCCTGCTGGTACAGCACGGTGCACTGCGCAGCACATTTCGCCGACCCATTGGCCCCAAACCGCCATGCCATCCGCCGCCAGTCCTTTGGGATCGGCGCCCTCCCCGGACTGCAGTCCAACCCGTCGGTGCAGCAGCTGGAGGAGCGGTATGCGGCGGCCATACGACGGGAAGTCGCCGAGAAGCTGCGGGAGGCGCTGGCCGCAAAGGAGCAGGTGCCTGGGCGCGAGCCGGGGGGCCGTGCCGCGCGGTTGCGACGCCAGCTGCCGCGCGCCACGACCCCTCGCCCCCTCTGAGAACGCGGGCGCGCGGCGCGTGTTGGAAGGCGCAGCACACAACCCCGCTGCGAGGCGTGTTGAGCAGGGAGGCCGTGGCGTCGGGGCACTTGCCTGGTGGTGTTTCTGCGTCGGCGCTGGGCCCCAGGCACCCCAGCAACCACACACATGCGCACACGCTTGCGTACGCGCGCGCACACACACACACACACACACACACACGCACGTGCGCGCGCCCGCCAACCCGACAGGCCGCCCTGGAGGCGCGCCTGCACCGCCAGTCGCGGCGCTCCGCGCTGATGCAGGCCCAGATACGCGCGCTGCAGGGGCTGCCGGCCGCCTTCCCCACAGAGTCGCCACAGCAGCTGTGGGTCTGCGCGCGGCGCCCCCGGCGCTCGCACACCGTCGCATTTGCGCAGCCACTCTTGCCTTGCCTTTTGGCCCCTGTTCCGGGGGCGGTTCTGTGACAGCCCCCCCCCCCCCAGCCGCTTAAATAGCGCTGTCACTTGTGGCAATGTGCCCAACCCGGTGATCGCCTCGCCCATGGCGCCACCAACCGCCTTGCGGCCCACGCGGCACCCCGGCACCGCCGGCCCGCGATTCCTTTCCCCCAGGCGCGCGCAGCAGCGGTGGCGCCGCAGCCGCAAGTTCGCCTGCCTCATCGCGGAGGACCCCGCCTCTGGCCGCGTCGTCGGCTGCTGCACAGTCAAGTGAGCCGCACCGCATAAGCGCCCTCACACACGCAGCTGCTGCTGCTGGCCCTCGCAGCTCACGGGTCTCACTCAGGGCCAACCTGCTCTCGCCGCGGCTCTGCGCCGCCAAGCAAGGCGCGGCGCGCACGAGCGGCAAGCAGAGCACGCTTTGTCGGCACACCCAAGGCTCGAC